GGGGGGCAGGTGAGAGGAGGACGCTGAGAACATCTTGAGCAAGGTGATTGTGTGATAAACAGCAGGATGGGAATGAGCGACAGGCAGATGTCTTCAGGGGGGAAGAAAGGTGGATGAAGCGTGTGTTGAGTGTAGATCCAGACACGGGGGGGGGTGTAGGGTTACAGGTGTGCTTGTGGTTCAGGGTTGAGATTGTTGGATGCTGGGTGTGACTGAGTATGACAGTGTGAATGTATGGAACACAGTTCAGTTCACAGAAATTGATAAAAACATCTTCTCACTTATCTCTTAGTAGCATTTAGCCATGCAGATAGTTTTGGTTTTATTCGGCCCGATTCGGCCTCAACGCGAACAACATGGATGTAAATGGAGTTCAGTTTGTGCTTCTCACAGCATTTAACATTCTATATAAATTCAACAGCAGCATGCCCAATGGTGAAACAGTGTCACAACACAGTTCGCTAAGTCCCGCCCCTCGAAAGTAGACTGGTCAATCATAACGATGATACGACGTACAGACCGCGATGTAAACAGTTTTTAGCAACAAGGAGGAGTTTCTGTGGTATTTCTAACTTTACTGTATGATATTTATAGATAATATTTCAGTGAGCTAACCATTTAAAACCGATCCAATGCTGATAGATGAGCTGCTGAGACAACAGAAACCACTTTCTTGAGTTGGTATTTGGTTGTCAACATCAAGTTGGCCTGTGTTATTGGAGAAGTGAATATCATAGCCCACTACTACTGAAACTCTAGTACACAAAAGTTAACCAGAGAGAGTTGCAGCTGCACATCCTGAGAGGGCAGAACACGGCACCAACGCCAGGCACAGCGGCACAATTCGCATAAAGGTTGACCACCAAACTAGGAGCGATATGGTGTGCTGTGTACAGTGTGAGGTACTCAGTAAGGCTTTAAAGGGTGCAGAGCTGTTCAGTACCTCAGCAGTGTGGACCTGGTGGAGTAGCAGATTTCCCCGGTGTCTCCTGCATCCTGCCGATCTGAATGAGGCGACGCCTGTGGGGAGCCGTTGGTGTGTTCAGACAGGCACTCCAGGTCGGCATCAGACACCACGGACAGACGGTCTGCAAAGCAACGGGGAGTAAGAAATACAATTATCATATAGTACATTTACATTTAGTATATCCAGTACAAATCACGTTAGTGACTCAAGTTAAATGTGTTTTATAATGTGAATGACCCATTTGGTATCAAGCAGGAGATGAATAAAGTTGTTATTCTGCTAGTTACCTTCTGGGCCGCGCAATTCACCATCAATCTCACTTTCATTCAGGTCCGATACGGAGGCTACCTGAAGTACCTGGTGTGAAAAAACAAGTTCAGATATCTAAGCTGCACGTACTTTGGAAGAAAAAATGCAAAGAAATTGGAAGTAAGAGTGCCAAGAGAATGATAACCTGGAGTCTGTAAATGAATTCAGAGCCGTCTCTCTAGAACTATTCACACAAGTAGTATATTAATTATTAATCACTGCGTTCTTTCCATCACCTCCTACATACAGGCCACAGAAATAACTGCCGGAGGGAATTATCCACCGAGTACGACACAGAAATCTCACAGGAGGCTACAGTACCGCAAGGAAATAAATGCATTAATGCTCACCAATTGTGCAAACGTTGTCACCTTTAACCGCTTGAAGATTTCATCTTTTCGATACCGGTAATCTGAAAGAAAGGGGGAAAATATGGTTACATTTAAGTAGGGTTATAGGAGGAAGGGGGCCTCAAAGCCCCGATGACAGTTGTGACATATCTCATTAAGAATAGCTGCTGTAGCTGAAGATACCAGCTTTGCAACCCAGAGTAATTGTTGTGTTCAACAATTACATAATCTAGTAAAACAACCGTGATGATTACTCCATCTATCCCATGCAGCCGTGCTACAGACAACTCACCCGGGTCTTGCAGGTCCTCCTTCTCCTCATCCCCTCTAAAGCTTCACTAAAGCTCGGCTCCGCCCTGTTTGTTCCCATGCTACCTTCCAGCCAAACCTCCCTACTACCGCACCCAAATCAGGCTGCTCAGACAAATGTATCTGCGCTGTTATTATCCACGGTGTGACCTCACTGGCTCACATACCACTGCTGGCACCTGACCAGCATGTCCTCCACACAGTCACACAGAGGAACACGTGTGGACAGCAGTGCAAATCCTCCATTCATGAAGGAATTAGTGTCACTTATCCCTGAGAAATCAGAGGACGGGTCAACACAAAACGACCACCGTCAACAAAGAAGCTCTTTAACTAGGAAATATCAGCGGGTTAGGGCTTCTCCAGTTGACCTCTTGAAGTACACTAGCAGACAGAGAAGAGGAAACCACACATCTTTGGGGAAATGAAGGGCCAAGCTGGATTTCCCAATACGTCAAACAACACATACAAACATCTGATATGTATGAGTGCACCAAACAAAGTAACTACATGTAGTTGGGTAGATAAATAAAACATGATATTAACACTTGCCAATGATAATTCCTCTTCAAATGAGTTACTCACTTTTGTTAATCTCCTCCAGTTTTTCCAGATATTTTGAAAGGCTGCATCCTATTATACAAAAATGACAGTAAAAGAAATCATTATAAATCATTTATTAGCTTATCACACAGTAGTAAATTAGTTACAACTGTAAATGGACAGGTTACCTGTGTCCAGCCGGGTTTTGACATGTTGAAACTTTACGTTTTTCGGTGTCCTTTTTGTCATGTACTAGAAGGAAAAGACAACCATGGGTTTATGTTAGCTGTATGACCAAAAACAAAGACGCTAGTTACGTTAGCATGTAGCGTTAAGCTCTCAGAAAGAGCTAATTTAGCTCACGACGTGAGTTGTGCAGGTCCACTTGCGTTGATATGGTAACTCAACACTGACCAAAGCTAACTAGCTAGCTTACTATGATAGCTACATTTGTTGGCCAGCGCTGTACTGACAGTACATGCTAATATATCGATAGTGCAATACTAACAGATAGCGGGTAAATAAAATAAGTAATGCTAAAAAACATTACCTGTACACTACCGATGCCCCGATTGAGCGACATTTTCACACCGAAATACCCAAACATCAACTTCCAAAAGGTTAATAACAATCTCGCTGCTGATTGGTCGGTGCTGTTCCCACCGACCAATCAGAGGAGCTGATACTCTGGAGCATCATATGATATGAGATGGCTAGTTGCTTAGCAGCGATAGACGCTCCAGCGTTAACGACATGCCGCGTTCAAAGTCACATAGGAATAACCGAAACGAGTTTGGATGATATTTATTTTTAAGTTCACAAAACAGAGTTAAATTAAATAGATGTACAGCCAAACTCAGAGTTTCCCAATTAAGTTAGGTTACTATGCTTACAGCTTGAATGGTATTTTTTAAATTTGTGAATGGATTTTCTTTTATGTAGGATTCTCGTGTCTTGACCTTTTCAGTAGTTTTAGTGAATGCAGCATCACTCTCTTCGGTTGCTGCAAGATCGAGCAGAACATCCGGGTTATCTGAGTTTGACAGGTCGGGTCTGAGACGGATGCTAAAGGACTGTCGAGCAGAACATCGGAGTTATCCGAGTTTGACAGGTCAGGTCTGAGGCGGTTGCTAAAGGCGCCCTGTTTGACAGCCATGGAAGTTTTCCTCTGACAACATTAGCTCTCAAATGCCCGCTATGGCGTCTGTTATGGTAAGTGCATTTGCCAATACTTTCTGAAATGTTTAATAAGCAAAAGTGCGTTTTACTCAGACAACGTTACACTTGTGCTAATAAGTAGCTGAGTCGGCGACTTTCCAAAGCTACTAAGAGGATTTGCTGAGTGGGGCTGTCAAACACACCTCTGGTCTTCGCTATTACATCGTTACAAACATAGTAAACTTGCTTTTTATAACGTTTGTTTTAGTGCTTGAAGTTGTTGCTCGTTGTAATGTCTTTTAATGCTTTTGCCTAAACGCAAACCAAGCAGTGACGTCATCCCATAGGGAGTTTCCTGCACAGCCCTCCACCACTAAGCAACACTAGCAGCACGTGTTTACAGCTCTTTCCCTCACATAATGCAAATCATTTTGAGACAGAGTGAAGTGAAATGAACATGGTGCATGAGTTTACATTAAATACACACACACACACACACAGTCTTAACAGTTGAAAGTGCCCTTCACCACACCTTTTTCCCCAAACTTCTCGTGAAATAAATGTCTCTTCGCAAACCCTTCCTTATCCGAAACTGCAGAGGAAAGGCAGAGTTTCCCGTCACTGACTCTGCATTGCCGTTGCAGGAGGACCCGGCCCTGGAGAGACACTTCAAGGGCCACAAAGATGCTGTCACCTGTGCAGACTTCAATCCAAACTGCAAACAGCTGGGTAATGTTTTTGCTACAGATGCTGTTTGGCTTAATTAAAAGGTTAACAGTATAAACTTAGCCCACTTTGTTCCCCGTAATAGCCTCTTTAAATACCAGTAATACAGTTTTTTGTGTAAGTCTTTGTCATTTATCTTTCTTTTGTGTCCCTCTAGCCTCGGGGTCAGTGGATAAGAGCCTGATGATCTGGAATCTGGCTTCGAAGGCGAGGGCTTTCCGCTACGTTGGCCACCAAGACGTCATCACCGGGGCGCAGTTCTCCCCCTCCGGTACCCTGGTGGCCACTTCCTCCAAGGACAGAACGGTCCGACTGTGGACCCCTTCCATGTAGGCTCAAGTCTCTTCTTTCTGCTCTAGATCAGGGCCTCTCTGACTAAGATAAGTGGGCCATAATAACACAAACCCTAATAAGCTGAGGCTGCACGGGATGTTTTACAGGAAGAAGCTGGATATTCAATCAGTTGTATTTAAGATAAGATAAGAAAAACAGAACTTTATTAATCATAAAGCAAAGTCTTTGATCAAAGATTACTACAGAAGAATAAGAAAAAACTATATAATACAAATAAAAACATATGAACAATAGCATTACATCTTTTACACTTATAATTATTATTCTAACACCAGTGCAAAATAGAACAATTAGAGTGAGCTTAAAAAAATATAAAAAGTAAATAACAACAACATAAGAATAAAAACAAAGAGTAAAAATATAATGTTTAAAAGAAGTAATACTGACAACATTGCCTAATAGAAAAGTTATATTGTGCATGATTTTGAGAGTAATATTGGCGATGATATTGAAAATAAAGCGTTACATTGCACATAATATATTGAAAGTAATATTACACGATGTTAAAAAGAAGATATATATATATATATATATAGGGGGAGGAGTTGTATACTGAAGAGATGTCCCGTGGCGTTCTATATGTTATTCTGTGTTTCACAGGAAAGGAGAGTCCACGGTGTTCAAAGCCCACACGGCCGCCGTGCGCAGCGTCGCCTTCTCCCACGACGGCCAGAGACTGGTGACGGCGTCCGACGACAAGTCCGTCAAAGTGTGGAGCGTTCACCGGCAGTGCTTCGTCTACTCCCTCAACCAGCACACCAACTGGGTGCGCTGTGCCAGGTACCCGGCAGCACCGCATCCCCGGTAACCTCTAGTGCAACTGAGAATATCTTTATCCTTCAGCTGCTTTCTGAAATGACCTTTTGGTCCCATGAGCCAAGGATTGGTCCAAGGATAAACAACAGGAATACACTTTACAAACCAATAGTTGTACACTCTTTTCTAAGTATTTGGCACTCTACTTGCCTTTGAATCCGCCCACTCCACTGAGTTTAAATTGAAAACTCTGTCTGATATCAGGCAAGCAGAGTCCTTTTTTCAATATTTTGAATTAGGCACTATGTGAAACATCTGAATGAGACACATAGATCAATTCAGTGGTCTAGATTTGCTGCTGTGGGTGTAATCGTTTGTCTGTTGGTCGCTGCAGGTTTTCTCCAGATGGCCGTCTGATAGCGTCCTGTGGAGACGACCGCACCGTCCGGCTGTGGGACACGTCCACCAAACACTGCATCAACTGTTTTACTGACTATGGAGGGTACGTCCTCAAAGTGTCCCGTTATTCTCCTTAGCTTTGGTTTTCTAATCACGTTGTTTTTTAAAAAATTAGTTAGATTTGGTCCCTTCAAATTGTATATTTCTATGTAAGTTATTGTTCTCAGCACAGCCTCTGGAGATTATATTTTTTACCCTTTTTGTATTTAAACAACCAATACATTTACAAAGAGGAGGTGGATAATGTATTTTCTGATTTCAGAAGGTCCAAAACATCACAGAATATAATTAAAAGATGCGTTTAAAAAATGAATCTGAATTGATTTAGTGGAGTCATTACCTTTTCTGTCCCATAGATGGCGGTGTTGTCTGTTATGAACACACCCGCCTGTTAAACTGCAGCCGGTCACTGAGTGTTTTTTTTGATCTTCCAGATCAGAAACGTTTGTCGGTTTCAACTCAAGCGGCACCTGCATCGCGTCCTCGGGAGCCGACAGTTCCCTGAAAATCTGGGATCTACGGACCAACAAGCTGATTCAGCATTATCAAGGTTTGTCGTAATGTAACAATGCAGCATATACAGTTTGGAAAATAAAGGAACCACCTGAAACATCCTTGCTAATATCTGTGTACCAAGATCGCTGTAAATGCGTTTTTGTCTCTCTGTGTGTGTGTGTGTGTGTGTGTGTGTGTGTGGCTTATTTCTTGGATCAGTCCACCATGCAGGAATCAACAGCTTTTCCTTCCACCCGTCCGACGACTACCTGATCAGTGGCTCCAGTGACGGCACTGTTAAGATCCTGGACCTGGCGGAGGGCCGCCTCATCTACACCTTGCATGGGCACAAGGTGAGGCAACAGCTCAGTTCACCCGTCAGACATCAGACGCTCTGAGCGGTCTGAGCAGCGTTATTCTAGGACTGATAGACTCTTTTACAGTTTGTAAACAATGATGACGTACGGAAGTGTGTTAATAGCTTGCAGACATAGACGCCACCGGTGTTTCGGTTTAACGAGTGAACGTGTTAACTGGTGACTTTAAGCCGAAAGTGATGGCAGCTGTTGAAAACAGAACATTTAGGTGTCCTTTTAAATACAGACTCATCTGTGTTTATTAACTGCGCCAAATATTTACATAAGTTACTAGGAGAAACCACGGATGCATTTGGCCGAAAGTCACCAGTTAACGCGGTCACACGTTAATCTGGAACACCTGTTGCTGTCTGAATTCTGTAGAACTTGAGTCTGCTGTTGGAATAACGATTCTGACAATCGAACACATAACAAACAGACATTTTGATGCCGCAAACAGTTTTAATTCAATGATCTCGTCTGGACGGCTGGAACAAAACGCCACTTTTTTTGATGACGCTGGCTGTAAAAGGGTTTATATATTTCCCTGGATTAGTCCTTGGTCCTTGAGGTGTTTGTTTGGTTAGGGTTTTTGTCACTAACCTTGATTACTATTTTTTCCAGGGTGCTGTAATCACAGTCGCGTTTTCCAGGGCCGGAGACCTCTTTGCATCGGGGGGAGCTGATGGTCAGGTTGGTGTTTTATGACGTTTACCAGTACTTTTAGTAACTGGTAAATCTGCTGAACTCTGTTCAGGGAAGTTGTCCTGGTCCCCTCGATCCCCCAGGTGCTGATGTGGAGGACAAACTTTGACACCAAATCCTACCAGGACGTCCTGCGAAAACACAGCCGGAGGTCCACCCCGGATCCCCCACCCCACCTCACTGACATCCACCCCAGAGGACCCCACCTCCACCTCCCAAAGCCGACAGCCATTCAGGTCAGTTCAGCTTCACCCTCAACTTCATATATCAAGTTATGCAAATTCTGACTTCTACTTAAAATGATTAGGTGCTCCTTCAACTTCTCTGAAATCATAGTAATATAAAAGCTTAACTGGTGTACTTCTACTACCATCTACCATACAAACCAACATGAAGAAGGTACGACTCCACAAGACCTGGAATAAAATCACAAAAGCAGTGTCACCACATTAGGCCGAGGTCAGAGGTCAGAGGGCCAGATAGCAGCTCCGTGGGCTACAAACCATCAGCATCCTCTGTTTTATCATAACGGACCAGTGTTCACGCATTTTACTATTCACGTCCTTCTGCACAGACGAAGACGTATGCAGTGACAACGACCGGGTCCACGTTCCACACATAACATGTTTGTGTTCAGTAAATATTACAGGTGGGAAATCAAGAGACGTGTCGTAAAGGTCAGAAAGGGGAGCAGCTTCATGTGACTCTCTCTCTCTCTCGCTCTCTCTCTGCACACAGATCAGTCCAACGGTGGCAGACACTCAGTCCACTGATCCGCAGGTCGTGGAGTTGGGCCAATCCGTTCACAGCACCACGGTAAGCCGGCGTAGTAACGCTACAGTCAGACAGACGCATCGCAAATCACACATCGTGTTACTAAACTGGAATAAAAAAAAAACATTACTCAGTTTCTTGAGCAATGGCAAAAGAAATCCAGTTCAAATTTATTTATAGAGAACATTTTAAAAACAACAGTTGACAGACTGTACAATCAAATATAGCAAAGACATAAAAACAACACAGTAAAACAACATAGTAACATAAAACCATAAGAAAAGCAACAAATGAAACAACAAATAAAACAATAACTTATAAAACTAGTGGGAAAATGGATGGTGGCGCAAAGAAGTTGTTAAGTATCTGATAAAATGGAATTGGATCCGTTTTTGTGAGACTAGCGAGTGATGCCCATCAATGTGTATATTTCAATTTTGACACTTCAAAAAATGGACACCACTTAAAAACATTAACTTACACAGAAGCAGAAATATCCAGCTGCTACTCGTCATATCAAAAATAAATAAATACTTGCATTTTACAGTCTGAAATTAAAAGTGTGAGCCTGAAAGATTGACCTCGTTATCATGATCGATAACGGGACAGATCAACAGATATGAGGCTGTGTGTATTTGAGAGGGGGGTGTTTTTCCCCCCATGGCCACCAGGTGGCAGTGCAGACCAGTCTATAGTTTGGCGGTCGTGCTGCAGCACTGAGGCCTTTTCATTCAGTCCAAACTGTTCATTCACTCGACAGACACGAGGTGATTTCAGAAGAGAGAGACACCTTGCCGTCCGTCTTTGCTCTTTAATTTTGTGTTCAAAAAAAAACAACTACTCCAATTATAAAGTACCGCACCTTTGCACAACCACAAATCAGTGATTTCATTGATGACATGTTGGATTTATGGATAAAAATGTGAGCTTAAACTTTTCAGCTCTCCTTTTGTATATTTTTAACTTCTGACCCAACGAGCCTTTGAATCCCACGTTGTGTTTTCCTCTCCGTAGTTTGTTTTGTTGCCGACGGCCCGTCTCGGCCCTGAACTTGAGTGGTTCATATCATTGTTGTAAGGTATCAAATCCTGGATGTGAATTAGCGCTATCCGCTTACTCCACAAACGCTGACCCTGGATAAACGGGCAGAAACCTGAGATTGATGGAGGTGGGTGTTAATGTACAGCTTTAATGAGAACACGCTCTCATGTTTAATCATGTTCTCATGATGGCTGGTTTAATGGGAGCAGAGCTCATCCGCTGCCATGTGACAGACCACACATCATTAATTGGTTTGAGTTTGTTTAATGCATTTGGATAAGGATGTGGTCTAGAAAGTGAAATGGTGCACAGAGTTTTCCTTCACAGCTGTGACGGTCTTTGTCTGCACAGTTAATATGGGAAGATGTCGCTTCTATTGATTTCATTCTGCATTGTTATGCTCTTAGAAATAAAAGGGCCACTTTATTCTATGACAGAATATATTTATATAAAAACTTTTAATAATCCCCTGATCTCTTGCTATGTTCCTACAAAAGACACGTTTTAAAACTTGCAGCAGCAGTTCATTGTTCTTATCTTGCGTGCATTATTCATTCATTTAGAACCTCAACATTGACCAAAGACTGCTGTGTAGCCCAACATCAGATTCGTCTCCTTGCCTCCTCCTCCTCCTCCTCTTCCCTCTCTGGATATCCTGAAGAAGCTTCGCTCCCTGCATGAATCGCCCAAACGTGCCTGAATGAAAATACCCGTGAGAGATCAGAGAGATCACATAGAGAGAGAGAGAGATATATCACACAGAGAGAGAGAGAGAGATCACATAGAGAGAGAGAGAGATATCACATAGAGATCAGAGAGATCACATAGAGAGAGAGAGAGATCACATAGAGAGAGAGAGAGAGATCACATAGAGAGATATCACATAGAGATCAGAGAGATCACATAGAGAGAGAGAGAGATATCACATAGAGATCAGAGAGATCACATAGAGAGAGAGAGAGATATCACATAGAGATCAGAGAGATCACAGAGAGAGAGAGAGAGAGAGAGATATCATATAGAGATCAGAGAGATCACATAGAGAGAGAGAGAGAGATATCACATAGAGATCAGAGAGATCACATAGAGAGAGAGAGAGAGAGAGAGATATCATATAGAGATCAGAGAGATCACAGAGAGAGAGAGAGAGATATCATATAGAGATCAGAGAGATCACAGAGAGAGAGAGAGAGATATCACATAGAGATCAGAGAGATCACATAGAGAGAGAGAGAGAGAGAGAGAGATATCACATAGAGATCAGAGATATCACATAGAGAGAGAGAGATATCACATAGAGATCAGAGAGATCACA